GATGGCGAAACAATGGAGATTTTGTCAACAACAAGCACAGGATTATTTATGCAGGTGGAGAGAAAAATGATAAAAGAGTAGGATTGATACTAGATAAAGTATTTAAGAATTTTGTTTTGGGATACTACAAACTGTCTCAAAGAATTCTGGTAGTCAAGCTGAAAGGAAAGCCTTTCAACATAGCTATCATAATAGTGTACACACCAACAGTGCCAAGTAAGGAAGAAGAAATTGAATCTTTCTACTCCATGCTAAACAATGCCAAGGCTCTTTGCAAATGAAGAAGTCATAATTATCATGGGAGGCCTAAATGCCAAAGTAGACAGGGAGCAGGCAAGGGATTTAGCTGGAAAATTCAAACAAGGAACCCACAATGAACGTAGAGAAAAATAGATCCAATGGTGCATGGCCAATGACCGGGTAATAGCCAACACATGGTTCCAAGAACATCTGAAACAATTATGGACATAGAGGAGCCCAGGAAGAGAAAATAAAACCAAATTGACTACATAACTATCAACAAAAGATTCAGGAATGCAATGGTTCATTGCAAAACTACTTAAGTGCCGACCACGGAAGTGATCATCGCCATGTTATATGTAAAGAGTGAAACTACAGAAACTGAAGAGGCCTAACGCAGCACCCAAGTTGCAATACAACAAACTCCTGAGCGACCCATACCTGAAAGAAAAATATAAGGACAATGTGAAAGGAAGATACAAGGGACACAATGGGAAATCGAAATGGGACAGACTAAGAGAGGCTTTAGTGACATCAACAAACGATATCATCCCAAAAGAGAATGGATGAAGAAGAAAAAAAATGAATGTGTGACTAATGAGATTCTTGACATGTTGCAAAGGAGACAGAAAACTCTGTCAAGATACGGAACAGAATATCTGATACTAGTTTACCCAAATAGTTAAATGTCTATACCTGCTTGCTTATCTCTAAGCCACTAATTTTAATTTTGTGTTTGATCCTCAATGGGTATCATGCTATTTTGGATCTATACCAAGTGATATTAAGCTTACAACATAATTGTAGTTATCTTACCATTGGATCAGAGCAAGCTAACAAACCACTTTAGCAGATCATTATTGCTATGTAATGATTTTGATTCTGTTGGAATTAAATATCTATTTCTTCAGTAGAAATATTGAAGCATGACAAGAAAGATGGTCTCTTCTAGTAAAAGTGATTAAGTGCCTTTTCCAGATTTTCAGAAATGCTATTACTTGTTTTAGATTATTATAAAAGAAGCACCAAACCTTTTCAGTTCACAATATCTGTTTGAATTTTAATTTGACCAGTTAGTCTAAGAATTATCTGGTAGTCCATATTAGATGCCAGACAGGAACTCCAACCCTATAAAAATTCATTTGCTGCAGAAACCAAAACAAAACCATTCGATATGTTTGGGGCCATATGCTCCACAAATATCTGCAAGATTAAACATCCAGATACTTCATGGTTCTTTTGTTTCTGTGATTTTTTTTTGTTTTGTCCTCTTTATGATATGTATTAACAAGTTGTATATCAAAATCTTTGTTTTGAATGATATTAATTAAAATTACATAATTAAATTTGATCTGATATTAATTTAAGTTATATATAAAAACTTAATAATTTTCAATGTCTTTCTGATGTGATGCTGTTTTGATCCATTTTAATTTACTTACTTTTTAATGTTATATCTCTTCAGGATGAAGGCAATTATGGCTCTACACAGTTTACTTTTTTTTCTTATCAGGGAATTACTATGCATTCTGGGTTGAAATAATGGATTTATTACTTGTTGGTTTCTCCACAGTTTGGAATTCAAAGGTATCCTTCACTTAAACTGATTGTTGCCCAATGTTAGAGAGCCCAGTGTAATCTGCTATTTAACCTATGGCTGAGGGAGTAAGAGAAGGACTTATCTTTCCCAAAGGTATTTGTGTAAAAGTGAATGCAACAGACTAGCTCAGAATTTGAACTTGGCTTGCTGATTTCAATTTCCATTACATTATCCACACATTTTAATTTACTGCTTTAAAAAAAATTGTATCTAGGACTTTAGACATTACTGAAGGGATTATCACATGACAGTAGATTAACATTTTACATCTAGTAACTAAGCCTGCCGATAAAGTGATTAGGAGATTAATTGACTGCTAATAAGTAGTATAATTGTATGTTTCATTTATAGACACCGTATCAGCTTTAGCAAGATAGGATTAGAGAACTTAAAACAATTTAATTCATTCAAAGGCCCTGGGAGGGATTTTGGATTCCTTCATATGACAGAGCAAGACTGACACACAAACATTTTAAGTACTTTAAATATACTGTTTTTATTTTTTTATTTTTATTTTTTTTTTCAAAGTATGTAAATTCAAACAAACTATCCTGTCCAGAGTGAATTTATTTCTAAATTTTACCAGTTTTAAGGTAACTCAAATTTAAATTCAGGCTATAAGCTCCTCCAAAAAGTTATCCCCATTATATTTTTATATATTCTGGTAGGTTTATGCATGAATTATTTCTCATCATAAATATCTAGCTTCAATCATTTCCAGAAAAATTATAATAAAATTGCTGAAAAATGGAAAATATATTGCAAATACATGCACTTAGCTGACTACCAGTCAGTATTAGAACAAAACTCATCTATTTTCCTCCTTTCAAATTGATTCAATAGTGTCTACCACTTTACAGCCAGTTGATATTATTAGAACAAAATTAATCTTTGCTCACTTCAAATTGATTCTAGTCCTGGGTAGGATGATGAACTACTTCTGGCAGCAAGACTGGAAGTTTTCAGGAGTGTAGAACCACTTCTTAATTGCTGCTGTTCCCAGGTCCACCCTGACCTGGGGTGATGGAACCTGTTAGGATCCCATCTATGGGCAAATAGTGAACAGTCATACAAAAACAAAATACTATGAAGTATAAAAATATATTTTTATAGGAAAAATACCAGTAATACATTTTTGTATAAAAAATTACCAACAATATCTATCTGTAGTAAAGTGACCATCAGTACATTTTATCTGTAGTTGAAAGTATACATTTGCATTTGAAATATATTTAGTTGAAACCGTAAAATTGTTCCAAAATATTTGTATTTTGATAGAGGTAGATATGCTGCTAAACAAAATCAACCAAATTGATTCAATAGGGTCTACCACTTTATAGCCATTTGGTATAGTTAGTATAAATTTCATCAATTTCCTAGCTTCAAAGTTACCAAAATTAAGTATGGCCTGCAAATCATTTTGGATTTTTGTAAGACTATATTTTGTTGTCATGATCATCAATTGTTCTTTTATTGTCATGTCTTCCCATTTTCTTCAAAAATTTAAATGCAACACTAATTGTCATCTTTTGGCATTGCATTTAAATTTTTGAAGATTGCAGGTGGTAGTTAAGTAAGAAACTGGAAGAGTTCAACAGGTAGTAAGTGCAAGAAAAGAAACTATGAGAATAGAATTTACAGTTAAATCTAGCTAATTCAGTAGCAAAACAACGAGACCTAATTGCCAATCTAGTAGTTCACTTAAATTTCTGTGGTCAAGGTGCCAAAGAGGAGAGCTCATTAGAACAACTGTCATCATGGAATTATTTATAGAAAAGAGAGAGGGAAGCTATGTCACAGTCATGGTAAAGGAACTGAAATTGAGATACCAGGTGCAGGACATTTACATTGCAGATTCTTCTTTGGATTATGTCAAGAATCTCAAAATATACAGCAGGAGCACCAAACTAGATATAGTAGCAGGATTCAATGCATGGATGAATGGTAGCTTTATAAATGTACAAGATGTTGATTCTGACAATTTTCTAGCATGACACAGTGAACTAACTTTCTTATCAAATTTTGCAATTGGTTCAATATAATCACTCCACTTCATGCCAATGAAAAATATGAGACCAAGAAAGTGCAATGAGTTCTCTCCTATAGGTTTGCATCAGCCATTTTGGAAGACAAAAAGAGGTGCTACTATAGCATGAGGTCTACAACCAGCATCGAACTATAATATAACATGTATGTGTATACATATTTATTTAAACCTTATATTATCATTTATATATCTATATACTATTTATATTAAAGGCGGTGGGTCGGGGGTAAAAATAAAAAATCTCATCATTTTTACCGGCACTCTTCCTAACATTGATATTGTCTTGATCTGAATTTCAACATTTCTCAAATTTTCAATTCCATTGTTTTTTGGTTGTTTTTTTTTACCTTTTACTTGTTTTCCCTTTCATCAAGAAACCATTATTTTTTTAAAATTTCATTATTATTATTATCATTATCATTTGAGTATGTTATCTTTCCTGCTTTGTATCCTGTAGAGCCGAGTCCAAACTATGGTCCTTAGGCTCTATAGGAGAATTGTCATTTAATTGATAGCACTTTTCGGTGTGATTGTGATTTAGATTGTGTGAGGTCTACTGCAGCATCGAACTATAATATAACATTGTATGTGTATACATATTTATTTAAACCTTATATTATCATTTATATATCTATATACTATTTATATTTATATTAAAGGCAGAGTGGTAAAAATAAATATGCTATCAAACACAATACATGCATTTATTTTAGCGATAAACACTTTGTATATTTTCTAGGAATGACACAAATATTTCATTAGAATTTTTTCTTCTCATCTTCCAGTAAAAATGATCAAGATATGACTGCACCTGGGTAGACAGCATATTAAGGTAGACTTCACACCCAAAAAGTTTATACTGACTAAAAGATAGCAGTTTAATTTAGTGGCATTAAAATTTACAATTAACAATTGATTAGAAATCATTTTTAAAAGCAGTTGCCAGTTTTATTTTGTCAGCCATATCAGACTTACTCTTAAGACAAGAGTAATTGTCATATCAACAGAAATACCAAGTTGGGAACTGATGGCACCAGGAAGGTTGTTGATCAAGTTAAGAAACAACATAGGTTGTAGGATAAGAGCCCTGGGAGACCCTAACATTATTGTGAAATGAGCCAGAAGCATGGTCAAGAAGCAGATTTTTTTCTTTTTTTTTTTTTTTTTAAACATTCTTTTTTTTCCCAATTCTTTTGCCACTCTCCTCCTCCTCCATTCTTCTACCACTCACTTCTACTCTTCCATTCTTCTACCTGCCACTCACTCCTCCTCCTCTTCCTCCATTCTTCTCTTACTCACACACTCCTCCTCTTCCTCCATTCTTCTCTTACTCACACACTCCTCCTCTTCCTCCATTCTTCTCTTACTCACACACTCCTCCTCTTCCTCCATTCTTCTCTTACTCACACACTCCTCCTCTTCCTCCATTCTTCTCTTACTCACACACTCCTCCTCTTCCTCCATTCTTCTTCTACTCACACACTCCTCCAGTCATTTTCCACTCTCTCCTCCTCCTCATTCTTCTCCCACCACTCACTCCTCCTCATTCTTCTCCCGCCACTCTCTCCTCCTCTTTCTCCTGCCACTCACTCCTCCTCTTTCTCCTGCCACTCTCTCCTCCTCTTTCTCCTGCCACTCTCTCCTCCTCTTTCTCCTGCCACTCTCTCCTCCTCTTTCTCCTGCCACTCTCTCCTCATAATTCTTTTGCCACTCTCTCCTCCTCCTTTCTCTTACAGTTTAACACTTCAGTAAAATCAATTTCAATTTATTTCATTTGTTTAGTGATTTTTTTTATTTTTATTTTATTTTTTCTAGAGATCAGCATTCACTTCTTTTCCAATGTGCTGTGTCCTATGCAAAAGAAGGAAACAATGTGACTTTTATTTGTCAAACACCTGTCTCAAAACTTCCTTTACCTGTCCATGGCATGCCAAAGCCAAATCCAACAACTTTGGCAACTGTGAAATTTATGTAAGTAATATTTTTTTCTTTAGGTCTCTTCTACTAACACTCAATCCTGATTGAAAACAAACAATTTTTCAACATAAAAATTGTGCTGTGATACTCTCAACCGTTGAAAAAAAAAATTGGGATGATATGCAATTGTTTGTTTCGACAGCAGCTCCTGTTTGGTTGTTGAAAACATTCTAGGGCCAATGAAAATAGGTTTTATCTGTAATGGTGTGTGTGTGTGGGGGGGGAGGTAATGTTGGGTGTTGATGTATTATCCCCCCCCCCTGTTATTATTTGTTGACTGTAATGGGGTTGATATTAATGACAGAAATTTAAAATGCATAAAAGGTACAACAATAATATAAACAATAAAAACTTGAGACACATGTTGACATAAATAGTAAGGATTTGTATTATTTTTTGTGATGTGGATTATAGAATATTGGTATGGTGTGTGTAGAAATGTTCTCAGTGTCTTTTTTCTTTAAAGGTCAGTGCTTACTTGGTTTGGTTCTGAGAATTTCGTTTGTGAGTATGGTGTTTGAAATTGTCTGTTTTCAATCTTCACAGAGTGCTGGCAAAGACATGAGTTTCTGTACTACTACTTGTCTGTTTTCTACTACTACTATCACTACCCTAGTCTACACTACTCTCTTGTGATGAAAGGGTTGTTTTTGTAATGATGAGGGTAGGATGATGAAATATCCTTCTTTTCTATCAGCACTGATGACAAGGTTATTTTAGAATGATGAAATATCAACATTCTGGACCATAACATATTCCTGTCACAAATTAAAATCTTTTTCAGCCAAATAACAAGTTGATTTGTTATGAAAAATAGAAATAGATTTTAATCACCAGCATTTAAATTAAACTCCAACATTGCAGGATAAATAACAGGAAAACAAAATCAATAAACTTTATCAAGGGAATGAGCTATCACAAATTTGAAAAACTTTATATGTTTGCAGATGTAAATAAGAGCTTTCAAATTCTCTTTACAGAAAAATCTTATTTAAATGATTTGGGTTTCAGTTTAAACAGCTGTTTAAACAGAATGCAAATTCTAATAAATCAAGTTTGAACATTAAAACAACTTTAAGAACTGTAAATATTTTTGGATGAATTTGTTTTGTTTCAGTGACAGATACAAATCGGCAAGTGACAAAGTTAAAATTGTTGTATATGTAAAATTTCAGATAGAATATATCTGTAAAAGGACAATATGAATAAAAACGACAAGTTTTGTCCTGAGGCATTTACCTCAGGGGACGAAACATGTCTGCTAAGATAAGTTTTCGCTTTGTCTTTATTTTATTGTTGTATATGTTGACTATTTGATAGGGTTTTTTTTTTTTTTTAGATTAAATTCCAACAAGCAATAAGTGAGCCATCAAAATGAAAAATATTTTTTATAACTCTGATTTGATATTTAAGCATAATTTGGAATAGCCATGATACAACTCCATTACATTTTCACAGACAAAGTTAAATGCAAACACATACAAAATAGTTGCAAAGATTATCAGTTACTGTCTTGTCAAATGAAGATATTGAATTTCAAAGCTATAAGATTGGTTAAAAATTAAATATCATCAATGTCATTTTCAGCATAGACATATGTAATATAAAAGAAAATCAGTATATTTATTAATTACTAGTTGAAGTACCTGTCTTTGCTGGGTAAAAAAGTTAAGTTTTTATGAGAGCAAAATATTAATACTGAGAGTGTCAAGTGTTGTTTCCATCAGAATGAGGCTATGCAAAGCTGCTGGATATATATAATCTTGAAAGTCATAGAAATTTTGTGAAAAATTATTGTTATCCTGATAGCTTTAAATAGTGTCATTAAGATGAATTTTTCAGCATTATTAAAAACCAAAATAGATTGTACAGAGCAACTGCAAACTTCTACAAAGTTGAAATAAGTAAAAAATTTAGATTTTATAATCTGTGTTGTATAACTGAATGACAATGTAGAAAAAATGGCTGAAATGTTGTGAATATAGCAATGAAGATGAGGATAACAGTCCGAATAATGTAAATAAAAGCAGTATTTATCATTTACAAATTTATAAAGAAATATGAAAACATTTTTTTATTCATAAACATTTAATAAAATATAAAAATTTGTGAACAAGCTATAAGGAATTCCTTATTATTTAAAATTTTATAAAGTTCAGATCAATTGGCAATTAGCTGATGATTTGCTAGCTGTTTCAATGAACAGTGTAAATAAATAAATGATGTAAATAAACAATCTGATAAATAGTGTTTAATATTTTTTTGTAAATTCTCAATAACAAAGAAAATATATAAATTCACTTCCATATGTTTAGATTTTATTCAAATTCTAATTATTGCTTTTTAAAATAATAAACATTACTGAGGAGGGAAGGTAGTTTAAATAATAGTAGAGTTGAGAGAAAAACTGTCCTTTTCACATGCTGTTTTTTTACAGGCATGCAAGTTAAAAATCGCTAAAATTCTATTTAACATCCTTTGAAAAGGAGAAAATCTTTTCTACTTTGTCATTCAATTATCCAACATTGTTTTGATATATAAAAATGTATATATTCTCCCAATATCTGTTGTGAATTAAAAATTTATTTTTATGATTTATGTTTGTTTTCATTGATATCAGTTGGGGATATGAATTGGCTGTGGTGAGTTTCCAATGAAAAATGGAAAATATATTTGGGGGTTAAGATTGTTCTGTGAAATTTCCTTTTTAAATCACACAAATATTTTTCTTATTCAGATATTAATAATAAAAAAAAATTATAGTCTTACACTGAACAGTTACAAACAGTAACTATTACTATAAAAAGATAAATCTTTATTGCAAAAAAAAAAAAGGATTGAGCTCTATCACTCTATATTCACACTGGGCCAACAGTTTTTTATGTTAAAACCTTATGCTGGGTCTAATATCTGCACACCAAATTTGAGGGAGAATATACTTGGCGTTATTTAAGTAGATTGGTCCACTCACAAAAATAGTAAAATAATTTTTGTAGATTAGCAGTCATGAGATATTCCTCAAGCCATAATTTTTATCAGAATTCTTTTTATCTAGACTTGATTTTTTATTTATATTTGTAAATAAAAAAACAAATCTAGAGAACTCTTGAAAATATGCTTACATCATTAATATCCATTTGTTCTTTTTAATTTTATTAATTTACATATATTTCTGTTCTTTAATTAAATATATATATATATATATATATATATATATATATATATATATATATATGTGAAAAGTGAATATAAATATAAATAAATATATATATATGTATAATTATTTATATATTATATATTAAACTACTTATTAGAAAGGCTCAATATCAGAGATAGAGCTAACATATTTGGTTGGATAGATGTGAGTTTGTGACCCTGGGTTTCACGCTTTAGCGATCGTCAGACAAACTTGACGATCGCTAAAGCGTGAAACCCAGGGTCACAAACTCACATCTATCCAACCAAATATATATATATATATATATATATATATATTTTTATGTTTCTTCTTTAATGAAAAAATACCAAACAGATGCTATTGCTTGTTTAAAATATTTTCTTAAAACACACAAACATGTTTGTATCTGTTCTTTACTTAAAGATCACGTCAGCTATTAGGGAAATGTGATTAAATATTCTTTAATGTTTAAAAAAAACTTATTCAGTATTATTATTGTTTAGGTAATAAGCATTATAACATAACACAAATAGCTATATTGTGGGAAAAGGAATTTTCAACAATATAAACATTTTTTTATGTATTCATGGTTATTTTTTTTAACTTTAATCAAAAACAACATTCTTGTACATGAAGTTATAGATAATATACATTAACTACTAATATTTTAATTAATAACTATTTGTGCTCAGTTGTTGACATTAATAGCTATCTGCTGATTTGTTAAAATTTTGGAATAATGAAATAATAACAATTTAAATTTCATCTCTCTGATAGATGTCGCAATCTGTTAAAAGAATTTTTTTCCATAAAAATAAAGAAAAAAATGTTTTCATATGCAGTTATCAATGGCATAATTGCTTTTAAACTTGAAATTTGTAGTAGTCAACACCCACTTGCATCTGAACATTGGGCTCATCATCCTCTCTTCTTATTCACTTTTTCTCCTCTGAGGGCATTAGCGAAGTTTGCTGTGAAGTCTCTGCCTACTCCTGAAGCTGTGAGCAGTAGTCACAGAGGAGTGTGGGTGGTGAACACATTGGGCCCTCCTGACAGCATCTTACAGATCCTCTTCATGCTAATGGTTGGACTCAGAAGTCATGGTTCTACATCAGGAAGGCTGATTTGTAGCAACATTTTCCCAGCTCTCAAAGTCAATGGTGTTCATGGTGGAGATTTCTTCAACTGATCCTTGAAGCGTAATTTTGGGCCTCCACATAGCCTCCTGCTGCTGGCATGTTCTCAAAGCAGGATGATATGTGGGAATCGAATGGAACGCATTCTGGATAAATGACCCTCCCGATGTTGAAGGATGGTGACCTCTATGCTGGGGAGAGATGACCAAGTGAGGACTTTGTTATTGGTGATGCAGTCTGAGGTGAAGGATTCTCCAGAACTTTGTTTGCAGGAAACGGTCCAGACATTTGATGTCCCAATGATACAAAGCCCAGGTCTCGCAAATGCACTGAAGGGTGGAGAGGACTACAGCCCAGAAGACCATGATTTTTGTTTTTATGGTGAGGCCATGATTGCTAAAAACATTTGTAAATAAAAAAGTAAGTACAGATAACTCATTATGAAATCAGGGATCAATTTT